ATGGTGATAGGTAGGGGTCCTGTTTCAATCTTCTGCATGTGGTCAGTCAGTTTTCCCAGCACCATTTACTGAATAGGTTCTTCTCTCCTACAGTGGAGGCTTTGTCAAAGACGAGTTGGTTGAGAAATTGAGGCTTTGCTTCTGGAATCCCTATCCTATTCCATTGGTCTATGTGCCTATTCTCGTACCAATACCAGGCTGTTTTGATTACTGTAACTTTATAGTAAAGTTTAAAGTCTGGAAATGTGATACCTCCTACTTTGTTTCTTTTGCTAAGGATTGTTTTGGCTATTCGTGGTTGTTTATGTTTCCTTATAAATTTCTATATTGTCATTTCCAGGTCTGAGAAGAGTGATATTGGTCCTTAATGGGTATAGATTGCCTTTGGTCGGACGGACATTTTAACAATGTTGATTCTTCCTATCCATAAGCAAAGAATATTTTTCTATTTGTTTGTATCTTCTTGGATTTCTTTGAGCTGTGTTTTGTAGTTCTCATTGTAAAGGTCTTTCACTTCTCTGGTTAGGAAGATGCTGAGGTATATATTTTTGTGTGTGGCTATTTTGAATGGAATTGCGCTTTTAATTTGGGTCTCTGCCTGCGTGTCGTTGGTGTATAGGAATGCAACTGTCTTTTGCACATTTATTTTGTACGCTGAGACTTTGCCAAAGCCCTTTATCGGTGCAAGCAGGTTTTTGACAGATTCTTTTGGATTTTCAAGGTATAGGATCATATCATCAGCAAAGAGGGATAACTTGGCTTCCTCTTTTCCTATTTGGATACCCCTGATTTCCTTCTCTTGTCTAAATGCCCGAGCTAGGACTTCCAACACAATGTTGAACAAGAGAGGTAAGAGTAGACAGTCTTGTCTTGTTCCAGTTTTCAGGGGAAATGTTTCCAGTTTCTGTCCATTTAGCAATATGTTAGCTTTGGGTTAATTGTAGATGACACTTACTATTTTGAGGTATGTTCCTTCTATACCTAGATATTTGAGGGTTTTTATCAATAAGGGATGCTGGATTTTATCAAAAGCTTTTTCTGCATCTAATGATATAATCATGTGGTTCTTGTTTTTATATCCATTGATGTATTTAATTACATTTATGGTCTTGCAAATGTTGAACAACCTGCCCCGCTTCCTGAGGATGAATCATTCTTGGTCATGGTGGATGATTTTTGAGATGTGTTTTTGGGTCCTATTTGCTAGAATCTTGTTGAGAATTTTTGTATCTATGTTCATAAGGGATATTGGCCTGTGGTTCTCTTTTTTTGTTGGCTCTTTACCCAGTTTGGATATCAGTGCGATGTTAGCTTCGTAAAATGACTTGGGGAGAATTCCATCTTTCTCAATTGCTGGAATACTTTCAATAGGATTGGTATCAGCTCCTCCTTGTACGTTTTATAGAATTCTGCTGGAAATATGTTGTCTTTGGATAGAGGACGTATAAGATATTAAACTGATTAAGAACAGATACTACATATGATCTTAGCCAAAAGGCTGAGAAGTGATTAAATGCACCATTTTAAATAAATAAATTCTGGGTTATTTGGGTCCCCCTCATGTCATTGTTTTGAGGATTAAATGAGGTTTTAAAAATGGTTAGCTCAATGCCAGGGCCCCATTGGCCTCTCTGGTAACCACCCGCCTGTCTGAGCCACAGCCTGTCCCCTTCCTTTTCGGGCCCCATTGTCCTGCCTGTCCTGTGGCCTCAGAGTGTCCTGGAATGAGCTCCTCCCCCTCCTGACCCCCTTGTCCCTGCAGGTACAGTCCCTTCCACGGATCTTGTCAGGCAGGATTCCGTGGTGTATGCCCGTGTCCCTCCAGATTCAGACTGTGCCCCCAGCACAGTGTGTGTTCACTGTGTACTGTTGTGAGTGGGGTTCCCAATGTACAGGGGAAAGGGTGGCCCTGGGACCTCACTCTTTCTGCAAACTTGGCCAGATACCAGGACAGCTCCAGGGCAGGGGGTGATGCAGGCGTCCCTGGGTGTGGACAGTCAACACTGGAGAAGGAATTGGAGGGAGCCCAGCCTGCCCAGGAGGGTGTGCAGGGGCCCGGTCCTCAGGGAGGGGCAGGGAGCACTTGGTCCACTCCCAGGCCAGACCTCAGAGCTGGATGGGACTTCCTTCCCTTTTCGCGCACGTGTGTGTGTGTGCGCGTGCGTGTGTGTGTGTGTGTGTGTGTGTGTGTGTGTAGGTTAAGGGATGTGTGTCTGTGTATGCCAAGCTATCTGTATATTCACTGAGGTGTGTGTGTAAGCCATGTGAAGGATGTGTGCGTGTGTGCATGCCAAGGAGTGTGTACACTGAGGTGCGTGTGTCTGTGTATGCAAAGATGTGCGTGTGTGCCTGCATGTGTGCGCTGGTGAACCCATGGAGGTCAGCCACACGGTGGCGCTGTTACCTAGTGCGGGGCGGGAGTGGGCCCCAAAAGTTAGTGGAGGGAAAGGGCTGAGGGTCAGGCGTTGGAGAGGGATGTGGAAAAGGAGCAGGCGCAGGGTGGGGCTGGGGCTGAGGGTGAGGCTGGAGGTGCAATCAGGGCAGGGCCGTGGAGGCTGGGCTGTGGAGATGAGCACCCGGAGAGGTCCGAGCTGGAATCTGGGCTTGGGGGCCTGGAGCTGAGTTCATATCTGCATTAAGATACGGGTTGGGATTGGGGTTCAATGAGGGTGACACTGAAGGGGTAGAGTTCAAGCAAGGACTCACACGGAAGTTTGGATGAGCCCCGGGGCTGAGATGGA